ACAGTCTTTAACCAGGATATTTTTATAACAGGCTACAAGACTCTCTTAAATGACACCTAGTAGTACTGTTGAGTGATTTAAAACTAATCAATGATGCTAAGAATATTTATTAGGACTGTGATTATGTCTGTTGCACTTACTGCTATATTATCTCATACCTATTATTAATAAAAATTAAACTTAGATGCTTGCCTCTGGTGTTTTCTGAATGACATATCTGAGCTATAATGTTATAAAAATAGTAAAATGAAACAAGTAAATACCAAAAAGGGATAAATAACATGAATATTATGTGAAAATGCTTTCACTGCATGAGTTTCTTCACTAAAAATAATTTTAAGTTTCAAATTTATTTAAGAATTCTTGGATGAGTTATATTTGACCCAAAATAAACATCACTTCAAAATTCTTAATTTGTCAATTAATGCTTACATTAGAGTGTCTTTTTCTATTTTGGTCACTTATTATTATTTTTTATTATTTTAACTTGAATCAGTGTCATATGTCAGACACATGGGTTTGAAATACAAATAAGACAAAACATGTGATCCTTAAACTCCTCGAGCACTTGGGACAGATCCAGGATTAGGATATATAAACGTATGGAATATCAATGTTCCGTATCTTCTTGGTGTCACAGTATATTTATATATATAGTTCTGCCATGCTGGTATGGGACATGTGGGGTGTTCTACATTTCTTCATTTGGGGCAAAAATTTCAGCTCTGTAGTGAAATAAGTTGTTTCAATATCTGCCCATAGACAGATTAATAACAAAAATTGCAGATCACCTTTTATGTTAAAAATACCTTCCTTTTGTCAGCTCACAGCCTGCTTGGTTGGCAAGTGTTTCAATTAGTCAAAGGATGCCAGTAACTTGGCTTATGCTACCAGTCCTTCATGACATGATAAAGTTAAAATGGATACTTTTGGTCCAAGCATTTTGATTTTACTGCCATAGAAGACAAAAATACTTTGCAAACACTAAATGTAAAATATTTAAAAGATCTGTTAGCTTTCTGAGTAATAATATTGAAAAAATAGTAAAATAAAACAAGTATATAATAAAAAGGAATAAATAATGTGGATATTGTGAGTAAAACACCTTCTACTTCCTCTTATTTTTATCTAGACAATGTGTGTACCTCAGTCTGGTATTAAACTCACCACTTTTGATCTTAAACTGCTGATTCTTTTCTTCAGTCATAGCTCCTGTGAAGCACGATTAAATAAAAATTTATAGTTAAAAACTGGGGTTTAACCTAAAGCTCTGAAAAGCCGCTGGCTCTTACGTCAACCTCAGTCTGAGGTGACGATTCTGTCTCCTTGAATCACAGAATGAGACTGCATCTGAGAGCTTTATTTTTCCCCTGGCATTCATTCATAGATAGATAGATAGATAGATAGATAGATAGATAGATAGATAGATAGATAGATGTTAAGGCTGGGATTAAAGGCATGTGCCACCATAGTTAAAGGCATGCACTGCCCAGTTTTTATGGTAACTAGTGTGGCTACTGGAATTAAAGGTGTGTGTTACCATAATCTGGTCTGTAAGTGGAACTGCTTTACTCTCCGATCTTTAGAGCTGATGGCCCAGATGATCCAACATTTCAGAAGATTTCTGTTGGAGTTTCCTCTGAGTTATATTCAGAACAGCCTCAAGACTACTGGCTGAAACGATCAAGCTTCACATAATATTCCAGTCAGGACTTGACAATAACCCTAAATTTTCTCTAGGTCCCCAAAAGATTATTAGGGCCCCAGTCAGCAGGAAGGAGCCTAGAAAACTATGCCCACATTATCAAAAAAAAAAAAATTATGGATGCTTGTCTTTGTTTAGAGTATTGGTTACAAATTGCTAGGGATAATAGTAGTCAAAAAGCTAAGAAAGATGATTAGATTTAGAGTTCTTGTTTTGAAAAGAAGGCAAAGGGGGGAAGTAGTGTGGGATAATGGTCTTGTACACTGTAAAGGTTTGCCACTTGTATTGGTTTAATAAAACATTGATTTGCCAGTAGCCAGGCAGGAAGTATAGGTGGGGCAACCAGAATAGGAGAATTCTGGGAGGAGGAAAGGCTCAATTTGCAGTCATCACCCAGATGCTGAGGAAGCAAGATGAGAATGCCTCACTGATAAAAGGCGCCAAGCCACGTGGATAACACAAATAAAAAATATGGGTTGATTTGTGATGTAAGAGTTAATAAGAGGCCTGAGCTAATAGGTCAACCAATTTATAATTAATATAGACCTCTGTGTGTTTCTTTGGGACCAAATGGCTGTGGGACCATGCAGACAGAAACCTCTGCCAACACTCCTACTATTTATGGGACTGGGGATTGAACCTAGGACTTCTTGCATAATACGTGAACACTGTACCAACAGAGCTACAGTTACAGCTGCACCTCCTTCTGCTTTATTTTTAAAACACTAGAAAACTCATTCCTCCTGTGATAGCCTTGGAAGATTTGTTTTTTTTTTTTTTTGGTACATATAGCATAGCTCATGGGTGCTAATTGCCATGAATATGTATCAGCAGAGGTGTGAACCACAACCTACAGCATCAATTATAAACTTCACTTCAATTACACAGTTGGCTTTCTGTACTTGTTTCTTTCATTTTTTGAAGTTGTAGTTGTTCCCTGTAACATTTGGGTCTTTTGAATTAAATATATCATATGAAGTAACTGATTTCCCCTAGTTTCTGAGGAGAGGAATCTATTCAGCCATTTTACAGAACAAATCATTTTCTAAATTTTATTTCCTTTCATAATCAATAGGTTAGTGGCAAGTCATAATGCATTAATCTATAAATTTACATGGAAATTATAACAGGAAATGGTGGGCCAAGAAAAAAATCCATCCAAGATTAATGTAGTCAGACTAAACTAAAATTTAAATGTGACTATTAATTTTAATATAATTCTTAGAATTTAAATATAATGCAAATCTCATTGCTAGTTGAAACAGTCCAATTGATAAAATTGCTTTAGTATAATCTTCTCCTGTAATTTAAATTAATTAAATTCCATTTATTGTATAAAACTATAAAAAGAACATCTCTAACCTAAGACGCAGTACTATTTTAAGTTAAAAAAGAAGCAATGTAATAAAATTATCTCCCAAATGCAAAAATGTATAATGAGCCAATCCAACTGTTTGCCTCATTGTAAATTAATGTGTTTTCTCATTCAGCCGATATTTATTGAGTGCCTTTGCAGTGAATTGAGCAGAGTTTATACCCATAAGGAGCTTAAATTTTATTGAAAGAAAAAGACTGTTCTGAGAAAACAATTAGCAAGCTAATTCCAGATTGTGGTAATTGCTTGAAGTTAGTGAAGAAAAGCTAAGATGGAGCATGAGCTAAGGCAATCTCCCTGGGTAAGCTGCTCAGGAGGAGCATCTCCCAGGACCATGGTTCTGAGTGACAGATAGGGAAAGAAGGACTCTATAAGACAGAGGAGGGCCATGGGGCAGCAAATGTTGTAGGCAGAGAGAACAAAGATAAAGGCTGACAGACATCACAAGAAGACATAATAAGAGATGATAATGGGAAGGAAGAAGATGAACAAAGTACGTGGGATACAGTAAGAAAAGTCAAAACTTTGGATTCCCATGGATGAACTACTAAAATGTTTAAAGAGGTGTGATGAAATCTACTTTATGTTTTGTGTGGCTAATGGAAGCAGGAAGAGAGATGGAAAAGTTGTGAGGTTCAGCTCCTACACTGACCTATAGATGAAGCTCTGGAGACAGGCTCATAGCAGACAGACACTGGGTTGGTAGAGAAATGACAAAGATTCACCAACAGAACTCACTAAGTAGAAGAAAAAAAATCAACAAAAAGCCTGTTCTGGGCATCATTTTTGTCATAAACAAAATCAACAAAACTAAAGTTAAGAAACCTAATTATAAATAACAAATTACATATATCTGGTATACATGGTGGGTTAATTCTCAAATTCATCTAAGTGTGTGCTCAGAGTTAGACTACATGGATTACTCATTTAGCTCCACAAAATACGATTTCAGTTGAGAAAGTTTGGTCTAGACTATTCCAGGACAGCATTCCACCCCATTTTTCCATTTCTAGCAGAGCTCAGAACTCATCACAGTATCATAAACCCAGGTTGGTCAAATCCAGTATTAATTTCTATTCTTAGTTTCCTTCAACAGATACTCATATTTGAAGAGCCTGCTATGTGTTCAACACTCTGTTAGTTTCTATGCATAGAAATGATGTTTATACTTGAGTCCATAGCTTTATGTTCTTTCATGGTACGGTGTTGAAACATTGTAAATCTTTAGAAATAGAAGCTTTGTGGCTCCTGGTGGTCATCAATGCAAATATCAGTGTGAAACAATGACCAAGAACTTAAATGTTAATGGAGCATATCAAATCCTCCTTAATATAAGATCAAAGAAGACACACTTTCTAGTGACCAAGAGAATATCAGATTACTTAGGATGGAATAGTCAGACATAGATAGAAGACTGATGAGCATTGTACGTTGATGATGCTTACAAAGTACAATGTGATTTGATAAAGTAAGAAAAATGATAGATGCAAATTAAGATTGATAGGGTATATTTGAGTCTTAAGAGTCTTAAGGAAAAATGGAATAAAACAAATGTGAGACTCAGTAGTTTTTTTTTTTTTTTTTTTTTTTTTTTTTTTTTTTTGTCACCATTGCCAGTCACCTGAGATGCAGTTAGAACCATTGCACGTCAAGACGCTGGCTTGTGAGAATTGTCTTAGAAACACATGTAGGTGATACGGGTTCAAGTAGTTAGTGACCCTTTGGATATTTACATTGTCCAATCTCTTCAGAAGTCAGCAGGAGATTTGTAAAGAAAAATGGAAGCGTCACTTTTTTTCATGGAAGCTTAGGCAAGGAATCAATCTCTAAGAATGCTAACTTTTTGTTTTATTTTGATTTTTTTTCCTCTTCTGCTCTTGCTTTAAGCACTAATAACAGATATTGCCGTTTCTTTTCTAGAATCACAACTACGGCTGCCTGCATGATGGACCTAAGGCGATATCCATTGGATGAACAAAACTGCACCTTGGAGATTGAAAGCTGTAAGTCTCTGAGCATCCAGCTGGACTAAAGTACTGGCTTGAGGTTCACCTTAGGCACAGACCTACTATGTAGGCCTGTGTCTAAATCAATGGTCTTGCCAAGTTGTTCGAAGAGTATTTGAAATATGGTCCAGGCAGACACTGACAGCCTCTCTCATTCATAATGCTGTTACCTCCTTACACCTATCTCTGAATCCTGTGCAACATATTTATGGAAAAGTGTGATTTGTCAATAAAATAAAAGACACTAATACCCAGGAGGACATCACAGGCTGTTCGTGCATTAAAAGGATAAGATTGGTGCAAAGTGTTAAAACAAGTTTGAGAAAATCAGTGAAGGTGACAGCATGTCATGAAATATTTCAATTGTCCTTGAAACTAATCATTGCTATCCATTACAGTTATTAAGTTATTGGGGAATGTGGTCATGAGGACGGCTTGCATAATGAAGGTAGAACCATGAATTTTTGTTTGTTGGTTTTATGCTTTGAAATGGTATTTTCAGAGCTGGACGTTTACTTTCTTGCTGGTCAGAGTCCGTAGAGTGAGCAGGACTGGTTTGTGTGTATGGGCAGGTGTGCTCCTGTGTGTGTCTGTGTGTATGCATGTGTTTATTTTATTTGTGATGCCGACTTGATTTGTAATGTGTTTGCTTTTTGCACCATGGACTTCATCTGCCTTGCCAGGTGGGCTAAAATGTGAATTCTGTAATCTTTCTATAATGCAGACATCACAAAGAGCTAGCTTGCTCAAGGAAAAAGAAGTTTTAATCTATTTTTCTCCACCAATGCAATTTTTTTTACTTTATCCCAGATCATAGTTGGAAGTAGACAATTTTAATCCAGTGTTCTGTACATAAAGTGACTTGACTCTGAGGATGTTATCTGCCTTTGAGAAAAATGTTAGCTATGGCAAGCAGCATGACTCCAAATCACTGCTCTGAGAAGTCATAGAACATTTATGAAATTCTGTGCATATTTTTGCTTCTTTATAAAATAAAGTTTCTGGGCATAATTAAATTTACACACACTTGTAAAGAAACTAATTGCATGCTTATATTCTAACTCATAATTACTTCCAAACTTGTTCTTTGCATTAAAAAACTAGTTAATGAAATTTGTCTGTAAGATTTCAATGATTAATTTTATGTAAATATCTTTGGGATAGCATTGCATGTTATGTGCACTTAACTTATGGTACAATACTTCTCAAAGACCAAATTCTTAGGCTGTCTCAGAAGTACAATGGGAGGATTTCTTGAAAAAAGTTTGCTTCTGGGTACCACTTATTTTTTATTGTGATTATATTTTGGAGGTGAAATTTTACTGGGCTCATAAAGAACCATAATTATGCACAGATGGAAGACTCTTACTGATTAACTTCATTCAGGTCTTCTGTAGTCTTTTTAAAAACCTGGTTCCTTAAATAAGGAGTGCCAGCTACAGTGAGGCAGGAAATACTCAAGGGTTATTTTACAACTAGAAATGGCTATTATTAAATTAACACTATACAGCATTTCAGTTTACACTCTTCATTTCTATTTCTGGTTGTCCTGTGAAATGAAGCAGCTGGTAATATTTCTGTTTTTATAACCAGGAAACAGACCTAAAGAGGCAAAAATGATATTTCTCCAGTATCAATTACCCCTAAGAGGCAGAATAATTTGGCTGGTGTGATTATAGATCATTGGTACGTCTTAGTAAAGACACTGATATTGGATGGGCCAGATTAACTTATTTCTTTTCTCAATGTCCCAATCTAAAGGTAGCTTATAATTACAAATTTGTCTAGATAATCATCATTTTATTTATTTATTTTTAATTTATTTATTTATTAAAGATTTCTGCCTCCTCCCCGCCACCACCTCCAATTTCCCTCCCCCTCCCCCGATCAAGTCCCCCTCCCTTATCAGCTCAGATAATCATCATTTTAGAAAATGAAATATGATATTGTATTGACAATATATTTGATGCAGGTCTTTGTTATAATTTGCTGAATTCTATCCCTTAATCAAGAAGTTTCTAGATGATGCCTGACATGTAGGCAATATCCACCTTACCCAATTGTTTCTTTCGGTAGCCCAGGGAAACATCAGACATTTCCTTTCGTCTCTTTTTCTTCCTCTATCTTTGTATCTCTCTTCTTCATTGATCTTTCTCTCCTCCCTTCTTTCTCTTCCAACCCCTCAAATCACAATGGTCCCAAAAGTACCATTAAATAATTATTATTTATCAACATGTTAACAATAAGTATATTGGATCACGTTCAATAAGGATGGCGTAACTTTTGTCTAGGTAGCTTGGAGTAAGGAACATGAGAAATGAATTCACTGTCCATTCATTCAATAGTTATTTTCTTCATTAAACTTTCATCGGGCACTAATAACTTAGTAGGCATTATAATAAGTTTAGAGATATAATGAAAAGAATAAAATACAATGTTCTTATAAATTAAATAATATTGGCAGGATAAATTATTTCATGCATTGAGTTAAAGAAAGAATACTTAGATCAAGTCTTGAAATCCATCTTGAGAATCTAGGTGGTCAGTATGGATTACCTAGGTCATAACTACTATAAGGTCAGCATCACCTCATAATATGTCAGTAATTCTAAAACTGTTGTGCTATGAGCGGCGGGGCTGCGTCCCCGGCACCAGGCCGCCCGCATGGCTAGCTTATGCCCCGAAATAATTACATGGAAACTGTATTTTAAACACTGCCTGGCCCATTAGTTCCAGCCTCTTATTGGCTAGCTCTTACATATTGATCTAACCCATTTCTAATAATGTGTGTAGCCCATGAGGTGGCTTACCAGGGAAGATCTTTTTTTTTTTAATTCCCCAAAGAATTGTTGGAAGCAATTTTTTTTAATTTATTTATTTTACATATATATTGTTCTGGGCACCAGATCTCATTATAGATGGGCATGAGCCATCATGTGGTTGCTGGGAATTGAACTCAGGACCTCTGGAACAGCAGTCAGTTCTCTTAACCTCTGAGCCATCTCTCCAGCCCACCAGGGAAGATCTTAACCTGCGTCTGTGTTGGGTGGAAGAATCATGGAGACTCCTGACTTGGCTTCTTTTTCCCAGCATTCTGTTCTGTCTACTCTGCCTGCCTAATTTTCTGTCCTATTAAAGGGATAAGGCAGTTTCTTTATTTAACCAATGAAATCAATACAAAATAGAAGACTCCCACATCATAGAATAGAGGAGGTAGTGAACAGATAAGGTCTCTAGGCTAAACTGAGGTAGTAATGAGGGCTGTTTTGGAATACAGGTAATTAATATAGCTTCTCCATCAAACTAAGCAAGTAGCAGCAGCTCTTCTCCAAACTATTGTTCATTAGTCATACAACACTATTATATTTTTAGAAAGTGAGGTAAACATGGTAACATTTCTGTACTGATCTTGAACTAGTGCTTCTCTAGACAACAGCTCTAATCCTGAAAATATCTTTATTGATATTACCACATTACTCCTAGAACATTGGTCTCAATTAAACACACAACACTTCAAGAGATAGAGCTAGCAATCAGATCAACTGAAGCAAAATGTAAATAAATAAAACAGACAACTTGCAGAAGAAGTAGAAGAAACTGGAGTTAGGGCTGTTTCGACTCATTTACCTTAAGGAGGGAACAATTCTTCTGGAAGGAAGGATGCAACATTCAAATAATAACTGCCCTATTAACTCTTAAGGATGTTGTCCACATCTGACCTAGAGAGAAAAAAATGGATACTTCTAAGGACACCAGAAAGCAATTTAGGTCAGAAAAGTTAAAGCAAAGCTCTTAGCAAGTAAGCTGGGAAAAATCAAATGGGTGACTGTATTCTGCAAGACCATTTACTGGGCATGAAGAAATTATTTTATTAGGAAAGCAATGAGATTAGAAGGTTTCTAAGTAGCTGTGGGTTGAGGGTTACTTGGCACCAGCAAAAGCTGAAAGAATTTAATTAACGGATGATAAGGCAGCACTGGTTTATGTAACGCTGCAGAGCCCATCTGCATAGACCTCAGGGAGAAGTGCTGTTTAGGAAAAAATAAGATCATAACCCTGCTAAATTTCTTCTGGGTGTTTGAGTGTGTGTTTCTGTGTGCATATGTGTGCGCGTGCACGTGTGTGCACTTCTCTGCTTGTCTACTGTTACTCAGCTACCTTTTCTTCCTCATATTTCCCTCATTGGAATACATTTAACAGTTGGGTCTGTGCAGACTAAGACACTAATAAGAGCCTCTGTAGATGCACTCTTTTTTTTACAAAAAAATATCTAAACCTAGTTGAGTCTTTTCCTCCTCATAAGGCTCAGTAGAAAAGAATGTTTTTGTGACTATTTATATCTGTACTGGACAGGGAGTGGTAGAGATGTGTTAAGTAATAAAGCTACCCAGAATTTTAAATAATTCTTAAATTATTTTCAATTTAAAATATTCCTGTGCAACTTCGGAGAAGCATAGTTATAGTTATTTATCAAAGTAAGAGCCAAGAACATCACAAATGATCACTGACTCACCGTATAATATTCATCTGTCATTTCTGTTAGGATTTGATAGTTCCTTGAATTTTATGTAGGCTTGGAGAAGGTAAGATAGTATCTTCCCACCCGTGCTATGTTTGATATTTTGTTGGACTAGGATCTAGGCTAATGCATATCAGTCCCCAGTGCCTGTAGACAAGTCTCACAGGCACATTTTTAGTACCTGGGGCAGGTGTTATTTCTGATTTAAATGTTTGGACTAGAATTCTGCTATTAGGTTCTCCCAGCATTTGAAAGCATCACCTTGGATGTGAAGGGTGTATCTTAATCTGGGCTATGAACCCTTTCACTCAATAATGCCTTTTTCCCCAGAAAAAAAAAAAGGAAGTCTTAATTTTGTTCACCTGTAATTATCACTGCTTTACATTTTCTCTTTCTGTAACTCCCACTGAATAAATAGTGGGTCTCCTATATCTGTCAACCTTGAATTTGGACCAAAATTCATCAATTTCTGTCTTCC